TCCGTTAACTGCCAAGGTTAACGGCGTACCGCGTAAGGTGCGGATTTTAAACAGCTGCCATTGGGGAATTAAGTAGAGAACAGCGTTCCATTCTGGAACCTTCCTTTCCTCTTCTTGTTATATTATTATTTGTTTGCAAGATGGCAATATAAGCGGTATTACACATTGGAATAACACATTGGAATAATTACACGTTATCACTCTACCCAGGAATGAAAACACAACAGGCTTAGTGACGGGCACAAACTCTTGTTTAGATTTTCATCCGAGATCTACTGTGGCGTCACAAAGGTCATTCTATTTTTTTTCACAGACGCTTCTGTTGATCGTTACCATTGAGACGATTGCAAAAATATGCTATCGCTTAGAAGGAACTTGAATGTGATAGGCGCCAACGAGCAGTGACAAATATTACAAAGCTAGTAAACGCATAGATCCTGGTGCGATTTTGTCAATATATGAAATTGAGATAATGACACTTCTCACGTTTTGTGAAACTGTTCGCCCTCTTGATTCAGACTGTAATTTCTCTGGTTAGAGCTGAATTCGTGAATAATACTATCAAATAAGGATATGAAGTGTTCATGTGGAAAACTGACACTTTGCGTCCACTCTACTCTAATTGCGGTGAAATGACTGGTCAAATGAGTGTCCACTGGTGGATCCAGGGGTCATTCGGGACAAATCCCCCCCCCCCCACCACCACCACCACCACAGTGCCCGAAATCGACGAAAATTTGCGGTTGTTCGAGAGTAAAACGAAAACTAAACAATTAGGAGGAGTTTGTTTTGAACTGCACAGCAGTGCGCAAGGAATCGAAATCCGATATCGTTTTGGAATTTGGAGAAACTTTTTGGGGATATGCCCCCGCAGCGTCCAGGAGCGCCTTTCTGGATCCGCCAGTGTGGGTGTCGTCCATTCGTGTTCATAAAAGTCCATACATCAACTCCACTGTCTGCTAATGGCGGATCATAAATTATGAAATGGTGCTGAACCTCAGTCCTGCAGTTGGCATACTGACATACCAGTGAAATAAGACTTATCAATTTCTTACCAAAAAGTAAGCATTAACGGCAGTGTGAATGAGATGTGCGGTGACCTTCAATCAGCACTCTTTAAGTATCATTTTTCAAGTAAGACAAATTTCATCTTCTGGCTGCCAAAATTGCTGCAATTCTCTCAAATTCATCAACTTTTGCACAGTGCACTCTGCACATCACCACTAATAGCCGCATATTTCTTCTCGATGTCATTCTGATAGCACGAAACCCTGAGAGGAGTGCAATAACCGTGCGCAGAAATGATCGTCGCATGCATCACTGCTTTAATGACTTCTGCGTATTGGTGAAAACGGTCAGCTTCTGGTTGGCATACCAGTCGCAGACTGCTCTGCTGGCTTCGACAGGTGTGTAAGCACATACCTATAGATAGAGCTATGTATCTACATACATAGCTCTATCTACATAGCTCTATGTGTGGCTATGTATGGACATATACATACATACCTATAGACGGCTCTGTGTTATAGACGGCCAGAGAGATAGCCCGGTAACGACAGTAATGCCAATGATCGAAGACCACTTACTCCACTGAATATACCTACCAGTACCTTCTTTGTTACGGTATTTTGAGGGTTTCCAAGCTGAGCTTGCTGTTGTAAATTGATTTTTCATTGTCAGCTTGGATGAGGTGAGCAAGAGTTAAGCAATAATCTCAGCGTAGTTTTGATACTTGTCAAAATATACGGTCCTGTTTTGTACAATCTCTATTGTACTGGCTAATTATGATGTCATTTCAGGTATTTGACTTGTCTTCAAATGCGCACGTTGCTAGTTCCGTCTCGATCTCGAGCATTCAAAAGCGGTTACGCATTGATGATATCATAAATGGAGCAAATACGTGCAGCGTATGACGCAATTGGGAGAAACCGGCAGTACAATGACGTCACAGCAGAAGGGATGGGGGAAGGGGGATAGCGCGAGGTGCGCTGGTTTCTTCATTGCTGCGTGCACGGTATCTGCACTTCAGCTCGTGCAGCCATCGATCCTCTCTGAGCTGCGCGCTGGCATAACCTGTTGGGCTTCCGGTTGTGGGGCATACCACTGGCAGTAGGCATGCGTATTGCGTAGGGCTTAAGAGTTCGAAAACCCGTGATTCATAAGGATTGGTGGTTTGTAAGTCAGAAGACGATAGCTCATGGAGGTCCGTAGTCATGACGGGTAGGGGGCCGAGCGCAGCTCTGACAGTTCGGAGTCTGTTCTGATTGATTTCGGACTGTCGATAAAAAGACAGACCGTAGTTTGTATCTGTAACAGTCTGGATTTTACAGCTCAGTCAGTCTGAGGTTCGCAGCTCCGATATGGCCCGATGTAGCTAGACCTGACAGTGAGGGTCGTACAGCTCTGTTAGGAGTCCGCATCCCTGACAGCCCTGAGTCTCTAGACCTGACAGTGCGGGGTCTGTAAATCTGACAGTTCTAAGTTGCAGTTCAAGCCGCTTAGAAAGCCCAACTACAAAAGGTTTCAACCAAATGCTACAGCTAGCTATCACTCTGAATGAGCTGCTAATTATTCAGCTGCTGGGATGAGAATCTACAGTGGATCTCTTCGGTTCCCGACACCATATGCTCTAAAGCAGCTTTTAGCGTGAACAGGCGAGCTAGCAGCGCCTTTCCCCAGCCCAAACTAGGCCCTTCCTTAGCTGACGTGAGCACATGGTGCCTTATTTGGCCAGGATTCGTATATAAGCTGGACTGATACATTGAAATCCATGTTCAAGTGCGTGACGAGATTATAAACGACAATCTAGGCGCGGCCTGGTTTTTCCAAAGCAGGGTAGGTACTGCTCACCTTATGGAAATTCGACATTCCAGATGTATCATGCCTGTGCTTGAGCCCAAATTACTATCCGGATTTCAACCTTGATTTTAGTCACTAGTCACTTTTGACTATCCCTGACAAGCCCAACGCTCATAGAGAATTTATGTTATGAGGCAAACTCTGAAAAGGATAGTTGAATCAAAGATTTACAAGGATACTCATGATCCTCATGTTTATAAACATGAACACCATCAAGCAGTTGTGACGCGATCCCGAAGCACGCGCTGTCATCAAACAGACTTATTCACAACGCATTTTTTCTGTTCATGGTAACATCTTTTCAATCAGCAGTCGCTCGCATAGCTAGCTTCCCTAGGCACTTCATCAGTGTTGTAAGATCATTACACAATGACACGGCTCTGCAAAACAAAAACGTCGTTAAGAAACTTACGTTACCAGTAACACTTCCCGTCGTCTGACTGCATAGTGCGCGCTGGCGTAGATTTACCGTCATACACCTTGGCTGCGGCGTCTGTACATGTCAGTATGAGCTAACCGTCCTAACCCAATGCTCATTGTGGTCAGCGATACCAGATATTCGTCTCACAGACGGCACGCCCCGTGAAATGTGATTTCAACACGACGACATCTGCTGCAGTCCACATTGATTGCAATGGAGAGAATTAGTATGCTGCGACTCTTAGATTTATTGTTGCTTCCAAAGCATACGAAAAACTATTGATTATTAGATCTTTGATCTTAGGTTAAGCCTTTAGTGAGATAAATACAAATTATCGTGATTCTACTCTGCTTCTCGTTCATAAAAAGAGATAAATACAAATTATCGTGATTCTACTCCGCTTCTCATTCATAAAATCAAAGGATGAATATAAGCTCCGCCTATCAGGCTAGCATTCGGTACATGAAAATTTATATCCCAATACAATGTACAGAACAATAACAGCCAATAACGACTACCAAAATGTATATCTTGTATATCTGGAAAGATAAGGACCAATAAGGCGACCCGAAGAACACATCTTTATGTACACTTCGCAATGTGACATACGACGTCTCTGGCAAAAATCGGTGAACTCGTACGTACCCTGCAAGCTCAGGCTTGGAAATCTCAACTGGTGAGGTTTTTCCTGTGTTTTGATCTTTAACATCGATGCACTTTATTACTTAACCTCTGTGGACTAGTTACATAATGAAGAGATCTAAGCTGGTTGTGCAACCATAAAAATCAAGATATGTGCTATGCGTGTAATGCTGCCCCATACCTTTGATCTGCAATTCGTAGGTGCAAATTACATAACGCATCACCTTAAACTCAAACTTGATCAAAGGAGTTCTACAGTTCAAGGAAAACCCGTCTATGTAGGTAGGCGAGGATATGCGTATTCGCGTTGTCCCCTAATGCTTCTCTCTCTCTCTCTCTCTCTCTCTCTCTCTCTCTCTCTCTCTCTCTCTCTCTCTCTCTCTCTCTCTCTCTCTCTCTCTCTCTCTCTCTCTCTCTCTCTCTCTCTCTCTCTCTCTCTCTCTCTCTCTCTCTCTCTCTCTCTCTCTCTCTCTCCCTCTCTCTCCCTCTCTCTCTCTCTCTCCCTATCTCTCTCACTCTCTCTCTCTCACTGTCTCTCTCACTCTCTCTCTATCTCTATCTCTCTCTACCTCTCTCTCCTCTCTCTCGCTCTCCCTTTCTCCCTCTCTATCCCCTCCTCCTCTTTCTCCTCCTCCCTTGCGCCTATTTGCATGTTCGTTAGATGTCTCTCCGTGACCCATTATTCTTTCTTGCCGAAACTCCAAGTTCACCAGCATCACATAGGTATTGCCTAAAATGTCTTAACATTTTCAGCTCATTTTGTCTTACTCACTATGACTTTTTTGGTACCGTTGGAAGTGGAGCTTACCCTCCATTGCCTTCTTTTCATGCTCTTTCCAAAGTCAAAGTGATTGGTTCTTAGCGGCGAATTTTCACAACATGCTGGACACTAGCTAGGAGACTGCAGATGGAATCCCCTGCCATAAGAAGCGATCTGTTTTGCGCTCCGTCCTTCATTTGATCACACCGACACCTACTTCGAAGCCACCAAAACCGCTGCCGCACGTCTGCGTGTCGCTGGCCATCGTGCCGAGTTCCCTGCCCTCCTGACTCCCGTCGTAAGCTGCGCGGTCACGGCAGACCGCATCTGACGTCTGGGGGACCGGTCCTGGCGTCTGCCCCCGCCCCCCGGGGTCCGCGGCTGACAGTGACCTCGGCGTCTGCCGGCGGCGGCGGGTGCTGCCGCCCCGCCCCCCGGTCGGCCGGGTCAGCCGCCCGAGCCGAGACCGGTACCCACCGGTCACCAGTCGTCTGCCGAGAGTGGCCAGGTGCAGTCGTGCGCTGCCGCCGCTGTGACACCCCCACACCGTCGCCATGGCCCCGCCGGAGTCGTTTTCGCAGCTGCTGGACGGCCTGATACAGCGGAGGGATCCGCGCACCAGGGACTACCTGATGCAGGCCTCCCCTGTGCCCCTGGGGATCGCACTAGCTGCCTACCTGGTGCTGGTCGGCTACGGACCGCGCTTCATGAAAAACCGACCAACGCCGCCGCTGCGACTCACCATGATGCTCTACAACATTGGACAGGTGGGCACAACGCCAGAGCAGAGATTGCATCGTCAGTTGTTGATTTACTCATCATTGATTGCGATATCAAAGCGTGATTTTGAAAGCTGATTTTTCCTCGACAGTCTCTGGATTTGTTATGGGCCTGACTTTATGATCCATGCACTGACGATTCAAGTGCAGCATACTGAAACATACGAAAATGTAAGCAAACAAATATCGATGCGTGAACCTACCTTTCCAATCAACACATACTTACATTTCTGCAGATATAGCCAATTGACTTTGTCAAACCTCTGATCCTATTCCACTGTTCGTTGCATACGAGTTGTTGTAAATTTAATGGCGAATAGGTAGTTAAAATTGTGTTTTAATATGTTAGGAACTTTTCATCAACTTGTAAAGCAATAGCTCTAAATTACGAATTAAAAGAAATTGGCATTTATCAATTACCAGCTAAACGGGAGCAGGAATGTTCACGCTGCAGTTGCCTGATAAAACATTTCCTGCTACATTGAAACACTTGACTTCACATGGTGAGATAATTTCAATACTTTGCAACATCTGGCAGACTACGGACAAGAAGCATTAGATGAAGGGCAACATATGCTGTCTTTGATAGTGGATCATGATGCTGGGTATTATGTTCGTTATTGTAGAATCTGATTATCGCATGCCCGTCGTCATCAGTCATGCTAGCAACAGTGCAGGCAAGTGCGCATCAACATTTTTACCTGAGTACACAAGCCGTCCTAAGGGATTACTTGCTAATGCTACCACAATCGAGGACCTGAGAAAAATGTTGACCAGTTGCACTGATGGAAAAATTGTTGATTGAATGCATCGCTGCAGCACTTAACACTTTCATCGTAGCCTCTATGAAATCACTTGAAAGTAAATGAATTGATACAGTCTGAAACAATTATCGCTGTCGTTTTTCGCAAGATCAGATTCGGACTCATTTGCAACACTGGATTATAGTGACGTGATCTAGTTAACATTGTGTCATCAAGTATTATCTGTCCTTAACGCACAGTACAAAGGGAGGAAGATTATCATTTTAAAGCTGATTTCTCATTCCTCTATCGGTCTAATTACTGCTCGCCTTAATGTTAAACGCAAGTGGCACGTGAAGGACGCTCGAAATGTTATCATGTAACAAAACTGTAATAGCACATGATGTTCAAATTACGCATCTGGATAATCTGTGGTGTGATCCTTCAGCCCATCTTATAGACATCCAAATGGAGGCGATACCCATTTAAATTGCAGTGGCTTTAACGGGGTGATATGCGTGTTTGAATGGACAGTGCCAAAAGTGCAAACTACTTAACACTTATATACGGTTGAAAAGTAAGCTACATTTTGTAATTGCTCATCGTTGGTGTCAATGCTTTAGCGCTGGTGATACTCATTTCGATGCAATTGGTGAATAAGATGATCATGTAAGCTTAATTTCAGGATGTGTTTTATCACAGTAATGTCAGTCCCGTTTTGTAGAACAATTGACTTACACTGCGTTACATGGGAACCAATCAAGCCCGTTCTGCCCTTGAAGAATCAGTTCTGATAAGGCCATCAGGGAATCATCTTGTTCGCTGACCGTTTCACAATGCCTGCACGTTTAGCCAGGTTTTGTGCAAAATAATCCGCGTGAACACCGTCTTATAGCGGGTAATAGAGCACTTTTTGCCTGTAACATCTCGATAATCATGATAGCTGTCTAGGCGCCAGGTCAAGGGAAAACGGGCCTAACCCCGACCGGCGGCAAATCTTGTTCATTGTCACCAGCGATCACGCCGTGGGCCGATATGAAGGACGCGACCTAAAACACCGGATTAAAGGCATGCTAAAAACCCGTTCGTCGCCTGAAACAGGCATCTGGAGGTCTTTGAGAATTTCTGATTATGTGCATTCCATGAGTAAGACGGGGAGCTTTGCAACTGGCGCTAATCCAAGGGAAGGTTACCTATTTGACGAGCAGACATGGTGCACATTTACAGGCCGTCGCTAAGACGTCCACTGAAAATATGTTTGAAACTAATGTAAGAATAAATCGAAGTAGATACCCAGTGCAACAATAGGACGCCCTTAAACTGGTCGTCAATTATCGCTTATAGTTAATGTATTAGGTGTTAACCAAACATTTCAACCGCACTTGATAACATCCAGCCCATCAATATCTGATAGTGCTTGTGTAGCCGGCCTATGCTGCCCTCCAAAGTGCCGAAAATATGCCTTTTCTTACTATGCCTAATGTGCATAGTAAGAAACTAACGATGTTCACCTAGCGCCTGAGACTGGCGTCCGTTCATGCCAGCGCCCGACGCCTGCCGGGTAGGCTGTACCGCATGACTGTGTAGTGCGGCACAGTCTACCCTCCCAGCGACTGTCGCCAAGCCGCTATGGCGCTGTGTTCCCGATTAGCAGCAACAGGACATGGGTGTTAGCGACAACCAAAAGCCCGATCAACGGTTTGTGGTTAGATATTTGTTAATGTTGTTAAAAATGCGCAACATGGCGCTGGTAATGTATCTTAGGAAAATCGTTCCAAAGCTGTCTGTTGTGTATACCTACCCACTGTGCGTTCAAGGTCTGACGTTGGATGAAGAGTTTGGGCTATTTTGGTCTTGTCACTATCCGGCTGTAAATGGTCCAGAATTGATATACTTAAAATTGATTCATTTTGCAACAGCGTTTAACATTTTTACAGTAACCTTAAGAGGATGTCCACGTCAGTGTTCGCCACGGGCCGCAAAATCCTTAGTCCAACCCAGCCCAGGCCCATGGGTTCACAGCCCGGCCCAGCCCGAGCCCATTCATGGTAAAAACGTCAAAGCCCAGCCCGGCCCAGCCCATCAAAAATGAATGGATTAAAGATTATTGACACCACACAGGTATTCAAAGGTAGCAAAGAAACAATCTTTTGCGAGCAGCATGCACAATGCACATTGCATGCGTGCTTTATTAACTCGTTTTTGAGTCTTGCACAGAAATAACCTATGAAGTTATAGTTTTTGTCTCAGTCGCAAGCCCCTGACTCCACTTTACAGTTCTTGGCCCAGCCCATCGACAGCCCATCGATCCTTCTTATTTGAGGGCCCAGCCCAGCCCGTAGCCCAGCCCAGCCCATGGCCCATTGGGCTGGCCCGGCCCATGGCGAACACTGGTCCACGTTCACCCAAAGCAATGTTTCAGTGGTATCCCATTGGATCCGATGTTTTGTTCAGAGGTTAGTGTTTCAGCATGACTTCTTTTTTAAAGAAAATCCTGCATCTCAGTATTTTCATGAGTCACTTTTACCGTAACCAATTTTTTCAACATTGCCCAACGGTTTCTACATCTGTAACCGATTTCTTTGCATAAATGTTAACATTTGCATAATTTATCGTGCAGTGCTATCAACACCCCTCGGTATTCTCACACCCATCTGATGCGTTGGTCGCAGTCACATGCCGGTTATCGCGAGCAACTTGAGTTCTCACGGACACATGTGGCCGGCCTTGGGACTCGCAAGGACTTCATCCTGCGATATCTGCTCCAGCATCGTCTGGTATCTTCTCATTATCTTCCTAATCGCCATAGTCGTCTTCATAAGCGTGATTCTGTAGTGAGTGCATGCCACACTACTTTATTCACTGGCAGGCCAAGGGGAATTGAGACGTTTGCCACTCTTGCAGCGTCTATACTTTTTTTTGCCTTCGCGTAGAAAGATACCTAAACAAGTTTAATTGGAAAATAATCATTCAAGCTATACAACAACGCATACGAAAGTGGAATTTGAAAAGTTTTTAACATTGTATAGCCTTTTAAAGGGACCATCCCACCTTAACATTAGTTTTGAGTTGAGATAGCCAAGTTTGCGGCCAGGCTCAGAAACCACCATTTATCCTGGTCGCAACCCCCGCAGCTTTATGGTGTTCAAGAAATTTCTTCCCTTTACTTGCAGGGTGGGACCAGCTTAGTCCCTATCTCTTAACCATTAGCGGTTTGTTGATGACGTCAGCAGTCATTTCAACGCCCGCCATTCCTTGAACCCGAGTTTTGCTGACCTTGAGCTCCCCAAGGCCCTATGAGCTCCCTTTTTTATCAACGTGAAATCCGTCGTCGGCGCTGAGAAAGCCTATTGCTTTTCATTTTAATTTGAATATTAGAAGATACCCACCACTGGAACTTGGACTGATATTATACCAAGGCCGAAGATGATCAAGCTGCCTGCTATATCTGGAGCTTGGTGTTCAACTTCAACATGGAATGAAAAACAAAATATCAAAGGAAACTGGATATGGTACTGCAAGTTTAAGTCCAAAGAAATTTGAAGAGCTGACAATTGACATTAATTCTTTTCCCGCAAGGTTTCCATAGGAGATCACACCATGAAGAAATATTTTTGATGTTAACAGTTGAAAGGGGATTGATCTTCCAGTTTTGACGAAAGACGCTGCTGACTGTTTTTGGAGAAGGATGTCGGCATGAGGTGCAATTGTGCTTGTGAAGTGGTTATAACTGGTCTTTTCACAGTGTTAAATTAAATGTGCCATTGCAGCCAAGTGTGTTATCATGTAAGGTAAAATCAAAACTACAATGTTGGTTTTACGAGCATTGAGAAGGCTGGTAGGTAACACCTGCCTGTGCTTGTAAATCATGCTGCCAAAGTATTCTAAATTAATTTTATCATACACTTTTGTTGTCCAGAATGGTTGCACTATTGTTTGGTATCATATTATTCCATGTACATATGGTAGTGTTAAGTCCGACCAACATGCTACCAGATTTGAAGCTGTTACGTTACCTAAGTACCTACCTGTTTTTTTTTACTGGCGTGGTGAATGTCACCTGGATTTTGTTTTGAGGTGCAGACCTAGTAACTCTGACTACATGGGTTTGAAGCTATTATCTATTCTGTTTTTACTGGCCTGGTGAATGGCGACTGATGTTGTCCGTGGATGGCACTGAAACAAATTTTGAGTGTCAACTGCCATGTACAGTGTTTTAATACAATGCTGAGGGCTGAAAGTTGTCTTGTTTAGAGTGGTGAAAGTTCAGGATATGCCAGCCACCATGGTGGGTCAGAGTTAATGTGTTGCAGTCAGTTCGGCTTCGGCAAGCACACGGATGGGCATACGCATCAAGACCTGCTCTGCCATACTTTCAGCCAATTTTACCTAGGCAAGTCTTTTCTTTTTTTCTGCCAAAAGCTATGACATTGTGAATTTCAGTGCTGTGGCCTGTGTGTAGCTTTCAGGAAAGCAATTCTAAATAAAGCTCTGATAAAGTGCATGAAATCAGCAATGCAGCCCTCTATTACATTTTCTACAACATCTTACTTGTTCCTTGCATGGAGAGAAAAATGCAATGTTATGAATTCGTTTATTCACATAATTTGACAAGCATGCAGTTACCTGCTACTATCACTGCACAAAACAGAGCAGAAAACATCAGTTGATCAAACACAAGACACAACAGAAGTTTACAACATAGGCCTGTCGAACCTGCTTCCTCCCACCACAGTTGATGCCATTTCCTAGCCTGGCTTGATGTGAGCACTGAATAGCTGCTTTGTCTAATTACAGCTCACTACCATTCAACTTAAACTACTCTCTTTAAAGTAAGAGTGAGAGCATTCAGTGTTCATAGCAGCTCGACAGACGACAGACAACAAACATCTTGACAAACCAACCAGTATTTGATTTGGCTAATGATTTATGTGCCTGTTGTATCATGGCCAAACTACTTTAACAGCAATAATCCCTGTTTCATCTTGATCTTGCTTTTAATTCCATTTGAACTCAGATCTTGAAACAATCATCTGAAGTGATATCAGATACTGGCTTCTGTTTCTCTTGAAAGCAAGTTAAAACAACAATGATAAACTAAGGCAGGAGATGTGAGTTGTGGCAGTAGATTTTTGATTCAACATATGTCAACCTTATATTGCTTGAGACCTCTGTGACAGACAAACAAATATTTATAGTTTTTTGATAGTTTGGATTCTTGGCTTGATTTAGCAGATCAGCTGTGAACCTTGACATTGAAATCACATAAATGTCATGGTACCCGAACGAATCCTCGCATGACATTTCTTCGTCCGCATTTCTTCGTCTACAAATCTTCGTCGGTGCATTTATTTGTCCATCAATGCTTACTCTTGCATATATTTGCGTTGAAGAAGAAATGCGAGCCGATTTTCATATACCCTGATGCGAGACAAAGTAATGCGATACGAATAAATGCCCTGACGAAGATTTGCAGACGAAGAATTGCGATACGAAAAAATGCCATAAGAAGAATTGTCCTGGAATCCTTTGTTGGCCATCATATATTGACCTTGATAAGATAAACGCATCATTCGCGCAATATTTGTCGCACTTTGATACCAAATTATTGCTTCCAAATGCCGACGTAAAGAAAACCTTTATGTGACGTCATAGAAACAGCGGAGTTCCCAAAAAGTAAACAAAAATAAAAGTCTTATATCTCGAAAACGGTTGAATATTTTCCGGTAAAATTTGGTAGATGTTCATTTTCGCTCTTTGTGATTCACGCTACATCACTTTTATGCCAATTCATTAACTTTTTTGAAGGTGGGAGGGTCCCTTTAATGAAGTGCCCCTCCCCTTGGCCCTTACAGCGTTAATTTCCTTTTTGCTGGATCAACTAGTGGTTAGGTTATGCGGCTGTTCAAATGTGGCCTGACTTCTTTCCTGGCTTCCAGTGTCATACTGGAATGACCACTGAGCAGCGCATGCCCAATGCTCTGTGCTTATGCAATAGATTACGTCAAACCCATTACATCCAACCGAGCTCAGGAGGAGTCGTTTATTTTGTAACCCACCGAGGTGAATCACGAGACAAAAAGAGTAGATGTGCTCAGTTTTATTCAGAGGCGGATCCAGCTCAGAGTTTTTGGGGGGCAAACCATAGAAATTTATCGATTCTTTCCATGCATCGTCCATAGGCGTAATGTTAAAATCATGCTGTTTGGAGGGGGGGGGGGGGGGCAAATGCCCATTTTGCCCCCTTGGATCCGCCACTGGTTTTATTGCATTTTAGCAATTTTATAGTTAATTTTTAAACCATTTTTGCGTTGTATGAACATGCACACCGTGTTTAAGTTTTAACTGCTGTACTGACAACGCGACACGAGCTGTGCTGTGGCAGCCATCTTAGTCTGACTCCGCCCTGTAATCCAAAGGCTAACCTGGTCTGTCTCGAAGGTATCTCATATCTGACCTGACCTGTGCTCCTCCAACTTTTAGTGTTACGGGTTACCTCCCCGCTACCTGTGCTCTTGCATCTACGCTGTACTGTGACCTGATCTGTACCCTGACCTACAGAACGATACGTAACCTGATCTGCCACCTGACCTGTACCACCATACGTTACCTGATCTGTCCCCTGACCTGTACCACGATACGTGACCTGATCTGCCACCTGACCTGTACCACCACACGTGACCTGATCTGTCCCCTGACCTGTACCACGACCCGTGACCTGATCTGTCCCCTGACCTGTACCGCGACCCGTGACCTGATCTGTCCCCTAACCTGTACCGCGACCCGTGACCTGATCTGCTACCTGACCTGTGCTCCGTCCCTCAGGTGATTCTCAGCGGGTACATGATGTGGGAGTTCCTGGCCAGCCGTCCGCGGCACAGCTGGGCCTGTGCGCCCGTCGAGGTCACGCCCGACCCCGTCTCCCTTCGGCTGGTCAACGCCTGCTGGCTCTTCCACGTCAGCAAGCTGGTTGACTTCCTGGACACGGTGTTCTTGGTGTTGAAGAAGGACAACAAGCGGATGACATACCTGCACGTCTACCATCACGGGTCGATGGCGTCCGGCTGGTGGATCTGCACCCTCTACCTCCCCGGTAAGTCGCTGGGTCATCCGGCAACCGAGTGTGGCCTTCAGAAGGTCTTACTAGAGCCAAAGGAGAAGTTAATTGCTCGCCTTTGCGGAAGGTAACGAAGCTAGTCCTAGGTGCTGCAACCAGACATTGTAAGTTATTTCAAGAGTGCGTAGCTGCACATCGTTATGTATTCACACTTCACAGTAATCTATCCAATTATCATGCCCGGATGCCTGTCGAAAAAAGAACTGTTACGATGTTGGTTTGATGTTGATAAAATGCTACAGGGGATGCAGCAACAAAAACGTATTGTAAGAGGACATTATTAGCTGCAAATAACGATAGTGGCTCGAAAGTGAAAGCAACAGAGAAGTTCAACAAATGTTGAACAAGTGTTGCATATTGCCTCCCATTGACTGGAGCTTACATAACACAAGCTTCATGGTGATCAAGCAATATCTACTATCATGCGAACATTTGACTATCCGAACGTAGTTAGCATTCACTATGAATGCGCCTGTTGTAAGTCAGGCTCATCCTTGTCAAGAGTTTCCCTTTTTACAATATGCTACCCGAGACGGCGGGTCATCATCTTGATCAATCACCCTTCTTCCGTTCCGAAAGTTGCAGGACTGGAAAACAATTCTAATCATTTTGCAATGCCCCTATATTCCCTGATCGTGCAGCGGTATAAACATATGCACCTTCCTTTCTCTGGCGCACCCTATGAGCCGCAATGCCGTCATATGCAATAGTGGTGCAACGGCGGTCTTCTCACCACAGTAAGGGAGAAAATGTCCGTGGCCTGCACACCAATCGGCCCCGGAGTCGGAACCTCTGGCTCGACACCTTCCCAGCACGTGTCATGGGAGGCACGCCACCGTACGGCATACCCATCCGACCACTCAGTCTTCTGCCACGACGCTCGTGCCGCATAAGGCGACAAGGTCATCGTAGCCCATGTTCCATTCGAGCTGTCATGTGCGGCGATGTTCCTCTGTGGGTCGGGTACCGCTGCAGCGGTGTCCGACCGGACGTCGCCGCATCTCATTTCGGCAGTCTGCTGAATGTGAAAGTGCCCGATTGCGTCACAGGTGCTGTCGGTTGCCACGGCAACTGCAGCGGCGGTGACACACGGACAAGGGGACACCGCGACTGCCGGCGCGTGCAGATGCGCCCGGTCAGGGCCGGCGGCGGCGCGCATCGCGGAATGGCCGGGGTCTTCTGCCGCGACGCGATCGGATTGGGTGACGATGAGGAGCGGTGCTTCACAAGGCGTCTCTGCACCACCCGTGTGGCAATCAAAGCCGCACAGAGGCCTTATCCGGCCATTTCCAGTCAGCCTTGACCCGATTAATCTGAGCAAGACAGACCGGTGTACGTTACGTGAGCACTCGAAGAATAAGCAGCCGGAGATACAATCCGTTTTGTTGAAATTTGGAAGCCTTTTCTGTTGTGGAGACCCATCAATGGAATGTTTATTATTGCTAAGGGCCCTGAAAGTAGAGACATTTTCATGAATGAATGGTAGAAAGTTGTAGCGTGTTGTTTCAGGCTAAAATTAATTCGTTGAAGAAGTGACATGCTTTTTCACTATCACCACCGATTCTAATTAAAACGAATAAATTTCCATTTGTGCGCACTACCTGCCACCGAGGATCTCTATAAAATTGCTCTGTACCAGCACAGTTGCTGGGGCCCTTCGATTCCCGTTCACTTCTGCAGAAGGTATGCTTGCAAAACTTGTCTGTCGCATTCACTTTCGTGCTGCACTGTCGTTGATTTGCAGCTATTAGTGTTCTCTCTCGCAAGACGTTTTTTACATGTTGCGCCAGATTTAGCATAATGTACCCGCCTGTCGCGCATTATATGCAGACCGTTATTAGCTTGGATTCAATCACTCAACATCACTCAACTTTACGCTTCCCTGTAAACGCAAGAAAAAAAATAATGTAATTCACAACGCTCTTCAAGTACGAAGCGCGAGACATTACGTCTTATAGTTTCTGGTTAGAAGCAAACCGAGACGATGTCATTATGGCAACAGCATCAACAGGAGAATATGAATGACGTCATCCGAATGATATCCTCTCGTTTATGGAATCTTTGACGAGGCGTCTGACCTTCACTGTCTGCCAATGTGCGGAATTACCTTGATGGCTGCGGTTACGAACTCCGCAACGAACACTGACAGACGAAGATTATGTTGCGTATTAGCTGCAAGTAATTTGGAAGGAATCAGTCGTAAATGCTAGAAGTAAGTGGTGTGTTCTACTACACCAAGTCATGCGTCATACCATATTAGCCATTTTCACGACGGGCTATCCGGCGAATGCACCTGATTTGACCAAATCTGCACCTAATTTCTTTTACAGCAAATATCTTCATTTCATGAATTTATTTCAGTGTTTTAAGCGATGATGCTCTCTGATAATATGACAAAGCAGGCTTATAAGCAATTAAGTCACCCAGGAATAAGTCTAGGCATATAAGTCTAGCCTGACGGCTGACCTTGACCCTGACCTATGTTAAACTGAATATTGCATCAATCCGAAACTCGTTTAGCACTTATATGAAACATTTTGCACAATCTTGTCAAAGTTTATGACGAGAGACGCCCAGTGCGAGGTTCTAAAGTCCATGCTACTGAAAGCCCAATTTCAGGTGTTTGACCTGACATTGCCCCGACCCTTGACCTCGAAATTCAACTTTTTGAATTACTCATTAGAAGTGTCTCGTCGCGTCCTTTCGTTTGACACCTCGCCCGTTTCGCTGCGCTTATTGGTTCTCAAGCTATCGGCTGGGACGTTTAACGCCCCTCCCCTCCCCAGCAAGTGGTGTGTGGCGAAATACCCCAGTAACTACCGGGTTAAGTTGATTGTTTTTTTGCCTGATATGCCGAATACTTGGTACACATTGCTGAATATTACAATTGACCTGTGTGCAGAAATACCTATGTGGTTTCCATGCTTATTTTTATTGTTCGAACTGCGAAAAGCCAAAAACCATAGTTATTATCTTTAAAACTGCGAAACTCTCGCTAAATAAGAAAAGATTGCTGGAGTGAAGTAAGCGTAGCATTTCAACTAATTTGAATGTATGTCCAATGTCCATTGCCCATTCCTGAATGTCATTGACCAGTTCTTTGTCCCTTTTGACCCCAGTGAACGGCGAGCGATTTTAAATCCCGTTACATCGGGACTTACCGGCACGTCAGACTGGTCATCATCCATCGGAGCCCGGCAGTTTTCGCAAATCCTCCACCTGTGCACGCGCTGCTGCACTATAGTGAATGCACCAGCGCCTTTGACTGGCATTTGGCTTACTTCCGAAAGATTACAAGTTTCGTGCAGAGCACTAATAGCGAAAAGCCAATGCCGACTTTTAATCACATTTCTTTGGATGTTTCTACTAAAGCCCGTTTCATGCCCTAAGCTTCGAAATCCTACTGGATGCATGGGGTCGCACACTTGGTCTTCGTCATAATTTCTCTTCAGATGAAATCTAACCTGTCAGCTGTAGCTCACTTTTATTTCAGAAGATGATGCTTGATCACTTTCTTGCCAGAGCGTTCAGCTGGATAGAAACAGCACGTCAGTACGTACGTATTATTAAGTCCCTCACTTGGCTAACCTCCACCTCTTATCTGTTTCAACAGGCGGCTCGTGCTGGATCCCGGGCGCGCTCAACAGTTTCGTGCACTGCGTTATGTACAGCTACTACCTGCTGGCCAGCCTGGGTCCGCGCGTGCGGCCCTACCTGTGGTGGAAGCGCTACCTCACCCAGCTTCAGCTCACTCAGTTCGCCATCATCCTCTTCATGGCGCTTCTTATCCAGGTCAGTAGATACGACAAGATGAGGATATTTCTGTGGTGATTAACTAATCGAATGGTGACCCCGAGCCATTCTCTGCCAGGGCAGTTAGACGAGAAATGTTATTCGGCATGAGTAAGTTTTCACCGCCCTAAGTTTTTGTACCATGTCATTACTTAGCAGCTGCCCGACAACTGTTTCCTGTTAGTATGGATGACTCTAAGTTGTTGTAGGCTTCAGTTCAACAGGCATATGTTTATGCGAATGAAGGAGCCATGGCCTTCATGACCCTGTTTAGACTTGGCTGTAGACCAAGTCCCCTGAACTTGAACTAGCGGCATGTCCAATCTCCACGTCGTTAAACACGGCTGACTGGTGCAGTAGCGGTTCTCGATGCTAATGTATTCATCCATCCATTTTAAAAGTCACATGGGCATCTCCGGGGCTGTCCCATCTCGGGCGTCTCCCATTTGCATCCTAACCCGGCCAGTTACGGCATGTCCACCATCATGTTACTTCTTCCGCGTAAACCATATTTCCTTCAGCGCAACTTCCTTGAGCCTGAAACTCTCAATGGCCAGTGGAAATGACCCGTGATCTCTCTCGCGATGTCTCTTGGGTAACTTCTCTCGCGATGTCTTGTAACCCAGTGACCTCTCTCGCGAACTCTTTTAACCCTGTGACCTCTCTCGCGCAGAGTCCCGGCATGCGGTGCGGCATGCCTCCGTACAGTACGGCCATGACGATGAGCTACCTGGTGGTGCTCACCATCCTCTTCGCCAACTTCTACATCCGCTCGTACGTCGGCGTGGTCAGCAAGAGCGGCTCCGGCCACTCCCCTGCCAGCATCTCCAACGGCACCGTCGCCAGCTCGTCCGGCGTGGCCACCAGCCTGAAGAAGGCGCCGGTCAACATCTTCACCTGGACGAGGAACGTGCTGCTGACCTACGGAGTCGGCTGCTTCACCGACCAGAGCTGAACGCGATCCAGCTGAAGGAGTGGTGCTCTCTGGATGTGTAGGAGTCCTTGGCCAGGCTTGCTGAAGCGCACGGGCGCAATCGGGTGACAATAGCCATGGCTCAAATGTAGATAGTAGTGCAGATGTTGCTGCTGTTTCGTGTGCTGATGGTATTGCCGGTTTCTGCCGTCAGCACCAGCATTAGATCAGGTCCCTGCTTTGGCCCTTCTGTAACGCCCTGGCGACCAACCGTAGTTCTTCGACAACTACGCAAAAGGCTGAACCAGTACAGAATACCAGCGGTATTTGTGTGCATGTGGGGCCAGCCAATCGGCGACCAGAGAGAGACAGTAACGGGGTTCGCGGGCCATTACGAGGTGCGTGCGCCGTGCCTTCATCGCGTTGCGGAGTGGTTGAATGGGTGACAAATGTGGCGACGTGCGCCCCATTCGCCCATCGTCGGTAGTGTGTGCTGAGTGACACGCGCTGAAAGACTGTGAATGTGACGGAGACGCGCCGCGTGGACAATGTAGCATTTAGTGATTGGCACTCGACGAATTTGGGTGCTTTGTGTTTGCTCAACCGACCAGCAGTGTGATGAATGAGTGCTGTTGTGCTAATATGTCTGCAATTCAACGAATGTGCTGCACGATTGCCATCCTGGAGATTGGACGTGCAAAGTTTTCTTGGTGAATGTCTGCTGCCAGTTGCTGGTTGGACTTTTTCTACTTTGCATAGATGTTTTTTCATTTGTTGCAGCTAGACTGACAGATTGTTGCGTCGTGCAATCTGTTTCTCGCATTATGAAACATTAATAAACATAAAACATAAACATTAATATATAGAAACATTAATAAGTTTCTCGCATTATGTCCGCTCAATGTGTATAAGCTGAATTGCGCAAGTTTTGTGAATATTTGTGATCATTCTAAGTCTTCAGACGTTGCCATTTTAGACGTAAGAACACATCCGATCAATCTGAGGTCGTGTCACTTTCCACTGCTATGTAAATGCCAGGAACAAGGGATACATTCAAAGGTGAAAAGAACATCGTGCACGTTTTACCAGAGTGAGCCTTTTGAATATCCTGCTTTCTCACTTTCGCGTAAAGCTGCTTCCTGCATAGTTTTAAAACGTTTTACATGTACCATCTACTCCTGTTCGCTTCTCCCATTTCGTATAGAAATGGCGTCGGCATGCAAGTGAAGAGGAATGAGCCGAATACAAAAATCGCTATCAATGACGCGAATATGTGAGCAACTGAGCAAAATTACTAATGCCCTTATATGCGTCGACATATGATCATGTCTCCAGCATTCAGAGATGCGCCAAGATAGCTTTTCAAGCTTGCCATCCACATCGTATATCAAAAGTGACGGCCTCGCCCAGAATTGTACCTACCATGAATAATACATGAATGTATTGTGTGTAATTCCTTGTGCCTGTCACTGCCAATACATTGGGTTACGGTGCAAGGAAAAGTTTCGAACTTTCGACATTGGTCATATAGAATAAAGGTTCTCCCCATGGAAAGGTATTGTGTCAGCGGACGGACCATATCATATCTTGTGCAGCAAGAAATGATATGGTGAGAAAGACTGGAAGGGAACTGAGAAAAGACTTCTGGTGCTCGGAAATCCTGGGAGGGAATGCAAAAGCTACCCCGATACGATGAAGGCTAACGTGACTTGATGCTTGATGGGGACGTGCTGAGGAAGAGATCTTTCGTCACGCAAGTCTAAAAGGCTCACAGCTTGTGGAAAAACGTGTGGAAACGGCCCGGTATTGTATCCCGGCAGCTTTGCAGATAAGTATTACAGAGGAAGGAGCGTAATGATAGGTCATGGCATTCAGGGTCAAAATCAAGGTCACCCGACAGGAATCGTTCTATTCATGGGTCATGGATAGAAACCGATTGCAAGAGAAATGAAACGATTCCTCGAGTCAAATTCCGCCTTCCAGTGTGAGGTCTCAGCTATTTAGCTGCATAAGTTCATGATCCGATCAGCAACCGTAGTGCTGCTCAAAAGCAGTCTCTGACTTGGCACGAAACCCAAGCTTCATATTTATAATCAAACCTAGCGAAGTATAACCCCAAATCGTGCTGAACGCGAGGTTGTAAACAAGAAACGTCCAAATATCCGGGCTTGGATACTAACGCTGGGCAAATTTGCGAGACATTTTAATGGCTGCTAGAACATTTGTAGGCCCTAAATAAATGCATAAGGCGATGCAATGTCGCCTATTTCGGAGACGGACTAGCGCGGTTAATGGAAACTCATGGTGAACAATGTGCTTTAACAGTTAACTGCACTGTTAACAGTTTGTACACGATGGACCGCAATCATTCACCAATGAAGTACCAGCGTTCTACGTAGGTACTGAAACTTATTTCACCAAGCATAAACCAATACCACACATCCGAGGGATCGATGAAGCCCTGTCTGCCCTCAGTCCTCATCCCGTTACCATCTGCCCCGAATCCGTTTCCTAGCACGTGGTCCCTGCGACCGGCCGTCTTTACTTCGAGAGAATGGCCACTACATTTGTTTGTTTTGCTGGGTTAGGCTCTTTCGGTCTGATGACGAGACCATTTCAGAGCCAGAGGGATGATAGGAGCTAGGGGAGACATTGGTCTGGGCGGGCACTCTAGTGAGTCGTCGGGGCTGAGCCGGGAGCCCATCCAATGAAATACGGCCTTGATCCAATGGACAGGCCACCCAGCCGCCACATAACCCTCTGCGCCCGGCTACGGGCGTGTGTGTCCTTATGGGAGCTTCCCGCATGTGACAAAGTTGCCCGTCCAGCCCGGAGCAGAGGGTCCGAGGGTGGACTGTGGAGGCGTAGGGTCTCGAATGTGAGATCAACCTTTATTTAGGGGAGAGTGGGGTAAGATGCCCAGGGTGGGAAAGACGCCCCACCCCCTCTAGCGGGGAAACAAAGAATCGAACCTGGAAATTAATGTTCTTAGCGTAAAGCGGAAGCCTGCCTTGTTAACTGCACAAAAATTTGCGAAGCTCAGTTGGGCAACGGCTGGCTGGTGATTGCATCTTTTTTATTTGCTGCTTTCAAAAAATATTTTGACGTCAAAACATTGTAAATATCAAAGAAGGCAGATAATTTTTGCGTCCCTTGCTATAGTCGTGATACATTAACATGCGTGTACTGTGTCCCAAACAGTTTGTTTCAGGGTGTAGTTTTATGGCTAACAAATTGTGATGATTTAATGTTACTTCGGTACCTTGGGGTAAGATGCCCCCTGTCCTGATGGGGAAAGACGCCCCCTTAATCCGTAGGCTGTCCTTCAAGCAGCCCGTCAAATCATTTATTACATACTTGTGATGAGAGACAAAAGCCGATCTGGGACTATTGAGAGTCCGGTACGGTCGGGTGCTCCTCATGCCGGTCTCTCGGCCCACACAGCGACTTTTTGGGCGGCATCTGACTCTGAGAGCCCTCACGACGGCCTCTGTGGGCCCCATTATTGGTTCCAGGGCCAGGGCGTATTTTAAGGGATTTTCACTGGGTCGGCAATCACATTTAGGGGCGGCATTTTGCACTCATAGGGGCGGCACTTGGCATCTGAGGGGGGCGCCATACCTACTGATATTTAATGACAAAAAAGACACGTTCGACGGTTCTTTTATAACTCTTTCTAAGTAATGATTTCAGATTCAACCTACCTAAGCTCAGCGGTATTACGTCTATTTTTCCGGGATATAACTAGTATTTCTCGTGTCATAATGCGACAAATGAACTATAATTTGACTTAACAAAAAAAGAAATTTAAAAATTTTACCTGAGGTCAAGTTCATGACCTCACCATAAATAAAACATGTTGCATACCAGTCGATCCGTATCGTCAAGCTTAAAACATTCACGGTGTTTTATGGCTCTAGAACAGTGGTCGGCAGGTCGCACGAGTGGTGCCCACTTTATGGGCGCTGGACGGGGCCATTACCCCCACTTGTCATACCCCATTGCAAGCCCCATTGCTTACACGGCAAGGGTCGCTGATATTCGGCCATATCCTTTGACGCCTCTATTTTTCTGCATCTTAATAAAATGCAACACAATTAACTCTCTTTTTATGGAGAGGGAGAGCGGGTGGAGTAAGGATGAAGTCATACATTTTTTATTCATTAGTTACTCGCGTAATGAACAGCGTATTGATTTGTAACGATACGTTCATCCCCCCCCCCCAAATTAATGAATGGTATACCTACCTAGTACCTACTCAAATATTTTCGTGACCCCAGTGACATTTTCATTGAGTTTTTGAAATTTAAATGATCTTCACTCGGTAACTTTCTCTCCGGATCGGCCGGCGGACAAAACGCAAGCGAAGACAATGCGGGGAGTCCGGTGCTCTACCAACTGAGCTACGGAACAGGGAAATGCTCACCATAGATACACCGACTGAACGATCCCTTTATAACTTAAGCGATTGATAAGACAAACAGTGTGTAACTGTATATATATAAAATGTAAGTCTCGAAATTGCTATGTCTTTGACCGAAGGTAAGGACAATTTTGCGACCCTTCCATTAGGTATAAGGAAATGGGAGAAAATCAGGGCATGCATGCCTCTTTTTATAGGTAGACAAATGTCAAAGTTAACGAATTTAAACATCATAAAACAATTAAAAATGAAACACTTAATCGGAAAATTGCCACCCACGACCCCTCGTTATGTCCTTGAGTTCATGTCAGGTCATGGAAGGCCTCCAGCAGTTTTTTCAATAACTTCTGATAGAGACATGCGACATGCCTGAGCGATGAAAACACCTTAGATGATTTCAGTTTGACGATACAAATCGACTGATATGCAACGTGACCTTTACCAGTCAGGTCATGACCTGGACCTGAGCTCAAATTTCCCAAATGACATTTGAATGTCAAATTATAGTTCATTCGACGCATCTCGACGAGAGGAGCACAGTACTGAAAAAACAATGTCATAACTTTCGTGAGTCAATAATTATTACAGTAAAAAGGTTCTTCATTAACCCTATTAGTGGCAGGGGGGTTGTTTTTATCCACCCCTCAGCTTTTTCGGGAATATCTCCGAAACCGCTGAAGCTACGATGCTGAAATTTTCTGACTTTTCCTAAAACTAAATTGGGCACATTCCCTGAAAATTTCAAGTTCATAACTTTACCAGGGGCGGCTCCAGAGCACTGGGAATTGGGGGGTCCTATTCGTGAAGCGAGTCATTTGGGCGAAGATCACGATTCTGCACCAGTTTTACGAACAGTGAATGAAAGGTATCATGTGATAACATATACAGTTATTGTGCATCCTCTTTTGACACGTTTTTGCTATAATAGGCGGATCCAGGCGTCCTAAAAGGATTATGTTTTAATCCTTTAATTTAATTTATGTTTTACCTCCCAACATAGGTGCCCTGACACCGCCTATGCATGACCAATACAATTGTAGTCGTTCTCTCATAAGAAAATTGTAACATAACAAGACCGTTACCACCCTTTTCAGAAACAGTACCAACAAAAACCTTATTTACTATACTTTTTGAGTACCCCCAATCTCAATGATCTGTATCCGCCTATGATTTTTGAAAATGCATATTTTTAGGATCCATGTGAATTCCTGGTTCATTCTCTATCGATCGGCAAAAGTTGCGTTAAGATTGGTTCAGAAACCTGGCCGTGATAAACAGTCTAAAATGTATCTGCAATTTGCCCGTTTTTACCCTCCTCTACCCCCCCCCCCCCCTATTGACATTTTTTTAATTTTCATTTTTTAGAAATGTAGATCACGTTGAGCGAAATCGAATGCCGTTTGAATTTTGAAAATCGGCCCGTTAGATCTCGAGATATCAAGGGGGGTCGTAAACAGCCTCCCCCCTGCCACTAATAGGGGTAGCCAGGAGCCTGCCACTAATAGGGTTAAAACAGCTCAGTAGAGGGGCGGAGGGGGTCCACTGTCCACTCCAACCCTCCCCAGCCCGGCACGGGTTAAACTAGTTGTGCTCTGGAGGTTAAGCCGTTGATGTTAGGTCAAGTCTGAGGACTTTATAGGAACGTTGAAGAGCAATCGAATGGCACCTTACTGGATCGGATGAGACTGTAAGATTCATTAGAACGGCGAGGCCCACAGCCATACACACATCGACGCCGCAAACGCCCGTACGTACTCGGCGGCGGCATCGTGTGAACCCATGACTCATATGAAACACCCAGTGACACCTAGCGGTCGGCCAGACATTGCACTGACGTGGAAGTGACTACAGGCGGCGGCGCCCCACGAACTGCACCCTTCCCTTTGCTGACAAACCATCACAGAGGGAACATCTTTGTGCTGCCTGCCGACGATTGCAGATTGCCACTAAGCGCAAATAAGGTGGGTCGTATCCTGCATTTCCGCTGCCGCCCTACTGGCCGCCACGACCGACTGGCCCTAGGACAGGGCTGCACGTCGGCCATTATTGTTCAGGCCAGAGCTCTCCAACGGCCGACAG